ACACACACACACACACACACACACACGAAAATACACATTTAAAGGGTCATTTCTTCCAAATCTCAACAAACTGATTCTTCCCTTCAATCGTCTCCAGTCAGATATTTCGATGCATGTTCGTGTGATTGTGTGTGTGTGTGTGTGTGTGTGTGTGTGTGTGTGTGTGTGTGTGTGTGTACATTACCTATCTCTGTCCCGGCGCTGCAGCCTCCGTGTCCGTCGATGTCGTCCAGGCTGAGGATCTTGAAGGAGGTGAGCGGCGTGGATCCCGGCTGAGTGGAGATCATCCCTCTGAACCGAGTCACCGTCCACGTCCGAACGTGGTTGTTGTCAGCGCAAACTGGAAGACGACAAATATAAGAATCTGTGCTGACAAACAAACACTCTGCTGACGTGTGTCTCTCAAACGTCTCAAGACTCTGACCTGAAATGAGGTGTTTCTCCGACAGCATGATCTTGGTGACGGGGCTGCGGTGGACGGAGAAGGTCTGGAAGAGCTGAGGCCCCGAGCCGACGGTCTCCGGATGCTGAACGATGACTCGGACCGTCCCAGAGCTCGTCCCGTACGCGATCTCGATCCAATTCCCGCTGTCACCTGATCACATGGAATTGGTCGTGAGTGTAAGACGGTCGAGACATCACTGATCTCTACTGTCTGTGTAAAAACTGTTTCTCAGAAGAACCCGTTCGATGATTCAGTGTTTTGTTTATCAATTTTAACTACATGTAAACTCTTCAGGCCTAAGATTCAGATCGTAGACAGATTCTAAAGAAGCTCTGTGGACTGAACAGAAGGTAGTGTTGTAGCTCCGCACTTGTTTTGGGAGTGAGGTAGACACTGAGGGCGGTGATGGCGTCTTCAGTCGGGTCTCGGTAGAGCTCCGTCACCAGCAGGTCGTTATCCTTCATCCTCAGAGGAAACTTCTGAACATCTGATGGAAACAAACAAACCAGGACCTCACAGACAGCAGCCACTGTTCAAACACAACTTTATTCATCTCATACTTCGGTAACAATGAATCAGTTGCTGCTCAGTTTGAAAATTAAAACCAAAGGACTGGCATCTGAACAGCTTTGAGCCGAACCCACCCACCACTATTGTTTCTTACCGATGTAGTAGATGGATCCATTGTTGCACCCGAGGATGAGGAAGGAGCCGGCGGTGTCGTAGCTGCTGATGGGAACCACATCCTGGTTCTGCACAGAGACGACAGAGAACGTCACAAATCATCTGCACGGTTCCGTGTGCTGTCAGTGAAGCTTTGAACTGAGCAAACTCCGCCCACCTGCCAGTGTTTGGTGACGGCGTTCCACACTCCAACTTTCCCGCTGTGACTGGTGGCGATCAGCTGGTTACCAACGAAGAAGAGCGCCTCCACGGGCACGTTGAGGCTGAAGACGCCTGTGGGATGGAGACACGACCTCAGAACAAACCGTTGCTCTCATATTTTAATTGATTTGTTTATACTGTAAGAAAAACACTACGTACCGATTTCATTTCCGTTGCCATCTGGACAGATGGCCCACAGGATGATCTCCGTCACCGAGGCAACAGCCACCATCTTGTCGTTGTCTCCCAGCGAGCCGCCCATCACCTTAGCGTTGAGCGCAACTCTGTCGATCACCCAATCCAGACGAGGAGAGGTGAAGACCTGCTGCCACCCGGTCGACTCCTTCACCCTGAAAGAGAGAGAGAACAAAGATATGGGAATAATGTGAAATCAGGCTTCAAACGTCAACGTGACGTCAAAAACTGAACTCATGATAAAAGTGATTCACCTGTAACACACGACAAACTGTGCGTAGGCCAAAGCAATCCAGTTATGATGACCACAGATGATCCGAACCATGCCAGAGTCTGATGACTGACCTACACACACACACGCACGCACACACACGCACGCACAGACACACACAGACACACAGACACAGGTGGAAATATATAGATCAATCATTGGGAACTATTTCCTCCGGCAACTCGATCCACATTTAAACCTGTGTTGTGTATTTGAGGCAGCAGGTCCGTGTGTGTGTCACAAACTGAAAATAAAGATGGACGACATGTCAGCTTCCAAAAGTGAAGCCAAAACACCTGCCCCTCCCCCTTGTGGCAGACTTCAGTACAGGCTCTAATAGGTTATTATTTGTCGAGATAATAAAAGGTCCTGGAGGAAGTAGAGACGTGTCGTGATGTTTACGTTGGGGACACATTCTAATGTCAGGTGTGAACTGATACTGTGTGTGTGTGTGTGTGTGTGTGTGTGTGTGTGTGTGTGTGTGTGTGTGTGCACCTCCGAACGGCCTCTCTTCGATGCTGGCCCTGCCCATTATTCCAGAGTTGCCCAGGTTGGGGGGCATGGTGTTGCTGCGTCTGACCGGCGCTCTCTCTACAGGTACGACTCGGGAGCCCATGAACTGTGGCCCTGCCACGCTGTGCCGGTTACGACGCTTTGCTGGGTACACTGAGACAACACAGACAGGAAATGAAGCAGGGTTGGGTCTCAGCGAGGCGGGGGCAGGAGAAGTGTTTAGTTCAGGTTCCCTGAGGCGAAGTGAGCGGCATCACAATTTAGGTTAAAGTCTCGTTTCACCACAGAGAAGCATCTTCATCCACTTTCACTGTCAGACATGAACTCTGGACATGTTGTGTAGTCGGTGTTTGTGAAGCAGCAGAATGTTCGATTCGTTCACAACAACAGGAACATGTCGGGAACAGTTCATATCTGAAAGCAGCTTTAATAAATTTAGACATTTCTCTGAGCCATTGTTGAGGAGTGTCTCTGGTGGTCTCGGGTGTTTGTGAGGACAGGGTGTTCACCTGGTGGAGGCAGGTAGCCATTGAACAGCACGTTTCCACAGGAAGATCGGTCCAGCTCGTCACACAGCTGCAGTTTACGAACTAGAACAAAACAATTTCATGAGTTAATAGACTGAACGACACACTTGTAGAAAGAGACGAGCCTCAGTGTCTCACCCAGCGGTGTGATGCCGTAGAACTCTGCCTCGTGCATGAGCATGTGCACGTTGATGGAGCGAGGATGAAGCTCTTTTGTCCGCAGGAAGTTGAGGATGGTAGCAAACAGAGAGGGGTCCCTGTCGATGAAGATCTACGGAGAGAGAGGAGGAACAAAAGGGAGGTTCACACACCAGTGTAACAAGGATACACACACACACACACACACACACAGACACACACAACTTACAGCTCCAGTTTCATCCTTCAGAGTTGAGATCCGACCGCTCAAAAGACTGAAGAGAAAAAGAAAACACAAACCCTCAGTTCAACTGAATTTTCCAGCAGATTGTTTTCTATTCATAAACGATCTTTATTTCCATCTTCATTCCATCAATGTAAAACCA